GCAAGGAATTCGAAATATTCTTTATGAACTGCTACGATGCCGTGGTGAAAAAAGAAGTGTTAAAATACAAGAGAAAGGTTACATTTGCGCCAACACACTCTTTGATTGCTCGTATCTCTCCACACACTCTTTGGCATATTGGGTGAATGTGCCTAAGGAAGAGGACATGAGCGAAATTTGCCAAATGACTCAGTCACTTGAGAAGTTTCAACTTTGAGGACATTCTCGCCGCATGGCAGGAAGGAACCCCATCACCACCACCACACTCAAATTCCCTGGGAATTCATGGAGCGAGGGACTCCTGAAATGAGACACTCTTTCCTCTCGGTTAGATTGAAAAATTAGTGGAGACTTTTCATCATTCATCGCAGTTTGGGAGAAGGAGTCAAAAATTGAGATGGAGAGTCAAGATGAGGAAATTGGCGTGTCAGCAACGGATGACGATGATGATGATGATGACAATCGGGGGCAGTCGAGCCAATGATGGACGCGGAGGAGGAGGAGGAAAATGATGGAATTCACAGTGGAATTTCAACAGAAACAAGCCACCCAACATATTGTATGGGAAATATAGAGCATTTTGAAATCATCTAATGTACAATGCACGGTGTCTGTAATTTTAACAACATCGTACAACATTGCTCTGTCTCTCTCGCTCGCCCCGCGCTCTGTCAGTAACATATTCTTGAGAGATGCCCACAACTCGGGAAGGAGGAGAAGAAGAAAAAAAAAGCGACGGGAAAATGAAACAAGAAGCACAGTGAAACTCACTGTGATTCCCTCCTTCGCCATCTCATGCAATAGAAAATTAGAATATCTCTCGCATTCTCTTCTCATTGAGTCTCGATAAGAGAGTTCCGCTTCTTAATCCGGAAGTTTATCAAACAAACAAACAAATAAGACGACGCAACATTTACACACATTCACGACATTTACTAAATACGTATGCTACAATCTCTGTATGACAAAGAGAAAATAATTCGTGACAATGGATGGCAGTGAGAGATGAATGGGAGGGAATTTAATGAATGAGAAAATTTATTTTCTCTGACTCACACTCTTAGACTCGCAAGCATAGTGTCTTTCACAAATATAATCTGTACACAACAGCATCCCGATGGAATTCACAACACCCTCTCGCCTCTCAACTGATAACGCCGAATAATTAAGGAATATGACCAGCCAGCTTTATTTGTTCCTCACGGTTTTTGGACCTTAGGAAACAATTCCTAGTGAATCTTAGAAGAAAACATCAAAGAATTCGCTTTAACATCTGAAAGAATCATACTTTTCGCAGTCAATGGCGCACCAAACTCTCTTTCTGGAATAAGAGGTCATTCTGGTTATTTCCCTGGATAAAATGTCCTTTTTGCGCAACCGGAAAATCTCCGTATGATTCTCTGAAGTCGTGTGTCATTCACGCCCCATAACTTTGTATTCTCTTAGCAAAATTTTGATATCGAACACATATAAAGTTAGATAAAAAATAAAAATCTACAGGACAATTTCTTATTAATGAGGGAAAATTGGTGGTAGAATTTAGACCTTTACCTTCACGTGGAAATTCGCGGCACATCGGTATGTCTCAGGACTTCAGGCGACTCTATTTTATTTAGAGTCACTGTAATTAAATTTTGCTACAAGCATTGATGCACAACCTCTTCTGTTTGACAGAAAACCATTATTTTGCCCTCCTTGTTCTGCATTCACTTTGCTAGGTAATTAGATACGGGGAAGTTTTAAAAACTGCATCAATCAGTTTTCAACCTTCACGCTCTCACATGAACACTCGAGAGAAATTCCAAATAATATTTTGCTATAATTTAATATCCGCTTGACTTCCTCTCGCACTTTTCATCGTCCTTTCTCTGCTCCGTAACTCCGTACATATTTCTCCCCATTGATCAATCGATCTCGTCTCCTCCTGGAAAACACCCATCAATACGACAATTATACACTCATCTCTCTCACTTTGAGAATTTTCTCTGCCCCGGTGAAGAACATATTGAATTTTCGTTTCCATACGTTTGTGTATCACATTTATATTGATTATAGTGGCTCTATGTGGCTGAGTGAAGAAAATGAGGTCATTGTACGATCTTCTCTTCTCTTTGAATAAAAATCAAAAATCACCTGCTATTCGTTTTATACGCGTTGAAAGTACATTCACATATGAGAAGAAGAAGAAAAAAAAACATTATGTGGTTCTGATCCCACCCAGAAAGAAAAGAGGAAGATGTGGAAAGAGAGAAGAAATCACAGCCAGAAGCATAAATACGGAAGAAGGTGAAAGAAATTTTTATTCCAAGAATTCAGTGTGAGAGAGAGAAAAGAACATCCCAAGTCCAGATCTTTGGACATGGCTAAAGTAATAACACCACATATTCACTCTCAACCAAAATATCCCCAAAGGAATAACTCTTTCACAGAGTTTCTCGCTTCGGGACTCTGTCTCTCTAATGTCTCACTTTATCATTTCAACCAATCTCGGGCACATTTTGACGTCTACACGCTGTCCCTCCTCTTTTTCCCATTAACTCGCCACTTGTGCGATATTTTAATGGGGACTCTCCCCTCGAAAAAATCTCTCTCTATATATATATATATATATATATATATATATGTATGTATTTTCAGTGTGAGAAATCTGGTTTTTCTATTTCTTCCAGGCACACCATGAAGAAAAGGGTCATTTAGTATCTCAACAGTCTGTTTGTTGCTGGAGAAAATTGAGCAAAGAAAACTGTGTCACAGTGACTCAATGATGAGACTTCTTATTTAATTAATAGCACTAAAAAGTATTATTTTACCAGACACTTTTAATCTTCCTTGTCTATCTTCATCTCACTGTCTCAATTTTCTCGTCTCAATTCTCCAAGTCTTTATTTTTCTCCTCATTTGCGAACACTTCTATCTCCTCACTAAATTGCATTGCATCAAATGTGCGAATTGCAAATTATGAAGACGAGGAAACACAGTGTTGTGAGAGATTTTTCCTCTTCTTGATGGGTATGAAAAAAATAAGAAACAGGCAAAAGACTTTAATTTATGCTAAAAACTATAAATGCACTTTACAATAAAATTTATTTATTCATCCCCCTCAACATTATTCGGTCTTTGACCCCAATTTTTCTCCACAATTCAAACATATTCATTCCTTTAAAATCTATTTTACCATGTCATTCTGTATAAATTTTTTCCCACAAAAACGGAGAATCACAATAAAACTCTGCGCATAGCCAAGAATGAGATAGTAGAGCTACAAAGTTGTACAGCCTTTTTTTCTGGGGATATGTTGCACTGCTGCACTCACCCCTAAAATAAAATACACAAACAATTGCAAACATGAGGCTTCCGAGAGGAAAAAGGATACGATGGAAAAAGACCCCCCAAAGTAATATATAAAACTGATTTTGGCACTGGACACACCATCATCTCCTCTCCCTTGGACAATTGCACCACCGCCACACACAGTGGAAGAGAGTCGAAATAATAATGGCCATCCCAAGAGCTCTTCCCATCTGCAAAAATCTCTGACAAGGGGTTGAAATTTACACATTATATACAAGTGAGGAGGCACATAAATTGCAATACTCGCTCCAGCATTTTCTCTCCATAACATATGGACGATGATTGCAACTCGGACAAAAGTGAAAATTGAAAGCAACTCTGCAAGACAATTAATTGAAAAGGAAACAATCAACCATTTAAGCAAGTTAAGTGGAATTGAAACTCCCAAAAGTCAAAGGAACACACACCCCAAGGGAAGACTTTCAAATTCAATTCATATCGTCCTTAACCAACTCGCTTGTTCTCAGAATGACCATCAAATGGGTTAAACATTCGCATATTCTCCACAAATATTAAACACTATATCTAAACAAAAAAAAGACCAATGAATTTGCACAAATTGTTTAAAGAAAACCATAATGGATGAGATGTGAAATAGTAATTATAATTTCAAGTAAGAAACGATAGAACCGCAATAGAGCAATTGAATTACAAAATGCTACAAATATCCACGATATGGTTTCACGTGTAATAAATCTCTTTCGGTCATTGTGTGTGATGTTGCAGAAAAAAGAGAATCACATTTTCACTCTCCTTTCTCTTCCATCAATTTTTCGCGTTCATTGAACTGAATTTTGGTTCACGAAAAAAAATTGCGATATATCTCTCCCACTCCCCCCACAATTGTCTTTCACCAATATTCTCTCCTTTTCTCTCTCTCTCTCTCTCCCTCCCTCTTCTTCTTGCCGCGCGCCACAGACGCGAAGAACTCACCTTTCGAAACACACCAAACAAAAAGGTGCAACACTCTTGTAAGCATTTCTTCCAGCTTTCTTCGTGCCTTTTCTATACATCACTTTTTTCATATCAACTTTGCCGCCAAAAAAAAATTTTTTTTTTTTCCTTTCCATATTCTATTCCAGCCCAATTCGCGCTCCTTTCCCTTCTCTGACTCCTCTCATCGACAGCGCGCGCGGGTGCTTCTCTTTTGCAAATAAAAAGAAACAACTTTACAGCCAATTTGATACCATGTCGAGGGGGGCGCTGAGGAGTGGAGTAAATGAATTATTTTGATACACACATTTGCAGTGAATTTGATATGAAAAGGAAATATGTATATAATGCTGGAGTGTTGAAAAAACGACCATACAACAATCGCTCGTACTCTTTGACATTATAAAAGTGTATTATATACCAGCATGTAATACTACATGGAGCAGTATTATGTACATTACTCATGTACATAGGGAGTCATACAATATAGAGAACCACACTTCCGACTTTCTATTTTCTCAGTGCGCGCCATTTGCCACGAGCAAATGGTGAAATAATACATTACTGGGTTCATCACAAAAATTGCATCTCGCAGTGTCAAATACACTTTTCGCATCGCATCACTTCAGCAACCAATTTCATGATCAACCCAATGGAATCTATGCAGGATTCTCGCCAAAGTTGAGCAATATGTGGCGAGGACATGAAAGAGTTTTCTACTCACCACGGACGACTTCTCTGTTGCCGGCCACTTGGAAAGTGACACTGACGCCTGGGTTGACATGGAAGTACACCACATGTCCGGGCTGCGGACCCTGCGAGTGCTTAGGGCAGTAGGGTTGCGGCTCGAAGCCGGGCCCGAAGTGGAACACTGAATCTACGAGTTGCCAGCCAGCCGGAGCGGCGGCGGCTGCAGCCGGAGCACCTCCGCCGGGCGGCGGAATGGGAATGGCCGGGCCGATGTGGTGGATCTGTGGATGCACTGGCGGATGCATCGGGCGCGCATGGAGCGGCTGGGGCGGTGCCGGCGGCGGCATCTGCGCCTGACATGGTGCAATCTTGGTGGATATGGTAGCCTGGGTGACCATCTTGGCGCTCGTGGTCATCGCCACAGAGGTCGTAGCCCTGGCTGTGGGTGTCACCACGGCAATAGCCGTTGTGACAGCCGATGTTGATGATGTGGCATTCGTCTGGGTCGCGGATGTTGATGCTTCTGTTGCCATTGTAGCTTGATTGCACTTCCAATTCACACTTGAAGTGATATTTGTGGCCAAACTGGGTTCGATTGTCTCTGACAATGTTGCAATTCGGTGGGATTCCTTCAGTGGTGGCTTCACACTATCCACATTTGCCCTCACCATTAGCTCTCTTCAACCCTACAATTTTCCACATACACTCCTGTTATTCTCACATAAACTATCCCAGTGACTTCTTCACTTCTCGACAGTAAATATATTACGAATATGCGCGAGGAAAATCACCTCTGATTGGAGTTACAGTTCTTCAAGCTCAAAATTCCCACACCCACAACACAAAAGTGTCCACTCAATTAATTAACTATCAGTCACCATAATCAGAAAACAGTTCCAATGGAGATACAAACAGTAAGAAAAATTACATGATTACACATCCACATTACCTTCTTTTTCACAAAATTATACCTCACCGTGGCGTGAGGTATAAATTGAAAAATACTCTGTGTCTCTTTCAGTGCCGATCAGACCAAAAAAAAACCGAAAAAGGGAAGAATAAACAGAGAAAAAAATACTGTGTGAGGACAGCAATTAATAGGTCTTGCTGTTTCAGTAAGTGGCGCTGTTGCCGCTGATATTCTTGCACAATTTTCGTGATTTTTATCTGTGAGATTCCATATCTGCAAAGACGAGAAAAACAAGAGGTATAATCAATTGATAAGCATAGAATCAAGTGTAGAGTGTTATGAGTATTGCACGTGTAGCCAAATTGAAAAATATTATATCTATTAATTTTAACAGACAACAAAAAAAAACGTACGAAAGAATCAGAAAAATCACGAGCAAAATGAACATGACAGAGCGACCGAAAATTGTCACCAAATTGAGATTTGATGCAATTATTGAGTTGTATTATTAGATTTAACTGCGAAAATTTCACAGCACGTGATTGATGGTGGCAGAAAAAAGGAGTTTCACGTCTTCGTTTTACGTAATTTTCTGCGAAATAATCTTCTATCTCAAACCACACCACCTCATTGAACCTCTCAGAGTGGAGTGTTGTGAAAGAGGAAGAGGCGGATTGGCAACACACCAAAAAAGAGCGATATAAGCGCGCGCGGAAAGCCCAAAAATCAAAATGCCAGAGATATGGAGCAATCAATAAGACGTACAGTGAGACTTTGGCAGAAGCTATTAGAAGGTAATAAATTTTAAAGCAAGAGAAACGCCTTTCTGCTATCAGTCGCACAATTTTTCCAATTGATCCCTTATCTCTATTCACAGCCACCCACAATTCTCCGTAAAGCTACACGATGGGGTAGACAAAATGCGAAATTGAGCAATTAAAAGAGACTTTTCAGTGCTCAACGTAGGGATTTTTTTTATATTCCGTCCCTTCTCTGTCTCGCCCCTTCACAGTAATGGCAATCTTCTACAGTTTTTACACCCCGTTCTTTGTACACGATGCCCTAAAGCTCGTAGTATCTTTCATCGTCACAATAATAATAATAATAATAATAATAATAATCGTGCTCCCTTCATTAACGAGCCTTCATAAATAAATAACGTAGAACGAATTAGTGTGTAACACCCTCAACAAATAACAAACACTCACTAAAATCTCATATACTTGTATTGTGATTTATGAGGACTCCAACACTCTCACGCTGCCGCCATTCAACCCTTTGACCTTTTCCCCCGACAATCCATTTACCCACCAGATGGCAAAGAAAGCCCTCCCCGTGCGTCCGGAAAATCCCTGACTCACACGTCAGAGCAAACGATCGCTGGTCTTTTCCTCGAGGTGGGCGAATGCCCATCACATTTCGCCAACTATAAATAGGCATTCATTTTCTTAAACATTCAACATCACATGAAAAACAAAATTCTGCAATCTTTTTTACATCATCCCCACAAAGTGTGTTAAATAAATCGAAAAAAAATCTCTCATTTGAGAGATAGAACGAAATCTCTCAAAGTCCTTTTCAATCAATTTCCGCCTTGAAAAATCCTCTGACCCAGAAGTGTACACATCACACTCTCTCGCAGAGCAGCAACAAAGGCTCACTCATCCGTCACGTGAAGTGAGCGCGCGAGAGTCAAGAAACTCTTGAGGAAAAATCCTTGAAAACATTCTTGGAATATTACAAAATTGCATTTTAATGACAATGTGATGAAAGAAAGGTCAAATCAAGTGGAAAATCTGGCGTTATTTCATTATTGCCAATCAACCATGTAAGGTGAAGAGGATCTTTCTCCTCTATTGTTTTGCATTCAATAAATCTTACACCATCACACACCATTCGAGCGAGATGTTATACCATCGAGAGCCTCCTCATAAAGCATCCATTCAATATAACCAGCAATTCATTTGCCAAGACGAGAGATAGACTGACAGGGCACAAAAACGAATCATATTTCCTGTATACTCTCACCGAAATGTGAATTTTAATACGGAGTTACAATTCGCAAACGGGACAGAGCGGGAAGCAAGGTGGAGAATAATGAGATGAAGAATTGATATGTAAAGTTTCCTCTCACTTTGTAGTTCTCCTTCGCACTTGTGCAAACATTTTTCCACCCAATACATGATTTTTCGTCACTTTTTCGCCCAGATTCTCATTGAATTGAGAATTGAAAACTTCATCTCAAGATAATTCGAATTGCTGCATTTCTCCACACGCAAAGACACAGCCAAGAGGCACCAAATTGCAGTGTGGCTCTGACCAATCAAGAGATCCGGGTACAAGAATGACCCGACAAAAGACCTTCAAGTGTACTCAGAAAGAAAAAGAGGTGAAGAAGTATGAGATGGATAAAAAGTGCAGAGGAAAAAATTCAAATTCACACACAGATCGTCAAAAAATAGAAACTTTCACTTTTCACCGTGTCTCCTCTCTATGTCTTCTATTAATTTGAACCAGGCAGAGTGTAACAGCAGCCACGAGCAATTCAATGTATGTACCACCGACCCAGCACATAGACACTTACGCTCCTCCATCAGCAGCGAGTGCATCCATGTCTTCACCTTCTCTGCATTTCCACCTTCATAATCATCATCTACATAACCATAAACAGGAGAATGTATAGAACTCAAAGAGGCCCCAGAAACAATACAATATTATAATCTTAGAATAATATACTAAGTAGAATGTGGACCAAAAGGAAGGCCAAAAATAAATATAATCCTGAAACAAACAATTCGTGAACCTTCTTCGCAACCCACACGACTCTATTAAATCTCTTGAATAATTCTCTAGCTACAATTGTTTCAAAAACACCCCCCGCAACCCAACCTATTAAAGCATCTTAGCCACTTTTTCCCACTATACGCGCGCAAGCAAACACGTCAAGACCACACCGGAGCCATAAAGAAGAGATGGCGAAAAGAGAGAATCATACAGATACATATTTTTCTGAAGCACTCTCATTATGCACACACGAGATTGTGCAAAATTCAAGAGATGAGGTAATGTAGAACAAACGGATGTTAAAAGATACTCGAGAGAAATTTTCATTGTGTCTCCTCATTCATACATTTCACCTCAAAGGAAGGAGAAGCTCAATGTGTGTTCAAAATTGAGATATCACCTCGGTTTCTGTACTTCTCTATCCTCAATGACAACACTAATTTATCATAAAATCACCATAGTAAGGGAGAAAGGACCACAAAAGCTGTAAAATTATCCTATACAACAGGAAATGAATCGATAAGTAAGTCAAAATAAACACTTTTCCATCATGAGAAGAAAAAACCAAAGCTCTGCAACACTATCCGGCACTTTGCTAATGTACAAAGACACATCATCTAATATTCTGAGTGCACACCAGTGCTTTAATTCACAGATTATTTTACACTTTAAATCCATTCTATTCTAATGGACATCGCGTCTTCTCAGCAGTATAATGACTATATCTCTTTCAGTCAGATTATCATCAAGTTTACTGGACGGCTATTCTCATGCAGTAATTTTGTAAAACGAACGTTTAAAAATTAAGCAGATCGGTGGCTCTGATTGCGGAGGAAGTTGATATTTAATATGAAATTTTTGTTTTACTGTACCCTGTTGTCCCATTCTCTGCGCAATCAAACAATCACGTCTCTCTGCGCAGAAAACAACCAAACACAAACATTATGTATGTTCTATAGAGTGATTTGTAAAGATTACTGGTAAATTGCATTGCACTTCTCATGTCCCTTCAATTTATTTTTCTCACCTCTACCTTTATTAATTGCAAGAGTGGAGTAAAAAACAAATTTAAGCAACAACACGTGAATTTGAATATTTTTCTCTTTACAACCGAGTTAGAGACCTTTTTCTACCAAAATGTTCACTATACTTTTTACGTGAATTTGCCCTCTAGTCACACCATTTCCATATTATTATTTGGTTGATGACACAAAACATCATCTCACATGAGAGTCACTTCTCTCCAATAGAAAAAAGTGTAAAGCTATAATTACACAACAATATTATGAATTTCTTCCCTCTCACTCATACAACATCTCTCGCCATCTCCCTCTCGCACTGCCACCTCGTAAAAATGATGATGAATAATGGCGAGAGAAAGAAAGAATTACAAATAGTAAAAAAAAACTGAATTACATGCATTATAATGTTACTAATGTTGTATAACTGGAGGAATCACGCTTCACAAATTGTGAGACTTTCGCAGTGTGCAAAATTTCGTATATATGTAGTCATCATCAGAGGGACCGAAAACAAGAAAAATATTTATCATTCTTCAATGTTTCCCTCAGCTCAAAAATCATCTGATTTGCCCTATTCTTTCTCATCTCTTGAATTTTATTATTACTCCTCGCCTGGCCGTATATCAACCATGTGCAATCTCCACACTTTCACCCCATTCATCATCAATGCCATAGGCAAATATGAAGGATGGAAGGTGTACTTTTGGTTTTTCGGGGGGAAAGGCAGAGTGCGCGCGCGACAGAGGTGAGAAAGAAGCGAAGAAGTGCCAACAAAATGGGGATGTGGAGTCGGTGAATGAATATAAATAAAGAAAGTGTGGGTGTTAAAGACGTGGCGCACATGAAGGGGTGAGATGTACACTAGGAGGGGAGGAAGGAACTTGATGGAACATTCGCCAATACAAGGTGATGAATCTCTTCTTTTTCTCTTTTCATTTCACCCCCCGCTTTTATCTGCGCCACCCATTTTTTCCACAGTATTCCCATGCAAAATGGTTGAATGGTGCGGCACACTTTGGATATCCATCACATTCTACACCTATTTCTCAGGCCCTCATCCATTTCTCTCTTCCAGCACTAAATTCTACCCACGACTCAGCCACCAAAATCCACCCTTTTTGCCATTTTACCCAAGAAAAAAAATATCCAGTTCAAATTCAACTCGTGAGACCACGTCAAATGCTTCTTCTCTTTATGTCACACATAAAAAATACATCACGCTGTCCTATCACAAATGCAATACCGACAATTCTTGCCACAACGCCTGGAAACTTGCACCGCGAACGGGACAAACTGTGCCGCAGCGTGCTGAAGAAACGACCGAGTGATATGTCTCAATGGAGCGAAAATCCTCGGACAAATTTGAATTTAAATATAAAATATCTACAATAGAAGAAGATATCTTTGGAATAAAAATTGTGACGCAATGGAATTTTCAGCATGAAAGGATGTATGAACTGAAAGAAGAAGAACCACAACTAATTGCATTTGAGAAAAAGTCTTTCATCCTCCACATCCACGCATATCCTCTATTCTGTCATAGCTCGATGTGCTGTAATTGTGAAAATATCCCTCAGAGAAACCATTTGAAAAATCCCACAGATGTATTTTCATCATGGAATGGAAGAAAGTCGAGAAAAACCACATAAAAAGAAATCTAATATCACAAAATAGATTCAATTTTGCATTTTTAATTTCACATCCCAATTCTCTCTTTCTCTGGCTCGTGGGAGTAAACAACACTCCACCGCTAGAATAAGCCCGAATGTGTGGAACATGAAGGAATCCAATGAAAGTATGTATATCCTAACATTCTGCGAGATATCTCACTGAGACTGACGGCAAATAATGTTTTGTTGGAAAACGTGCAATAAAAAAGCTAGAGAGAAAAGTGACAGACTTTGCAGTGTGCTCAAGTGCACAAATTTATGGAGAATAAATAAAATTTCGTCGTCTAAAAGGAGCAAAAACAGTGTGGGCTTTTATTTATACCATAAAATAGAATTAGGATAAATGCCGTCTAGACACAACATTCGTGTTTTCTCAGCTCTATTTATTATTATTTTCAATCTCAAAAACTTAATGGCGAGCAAGATGTGCTAATTGTCCTTTCGCATGGTATTACATTTTGACTTTTAGGGATAACTAAAATGAGGAATGAATTTTTGATGTGACTCTTCAAATGACAAAGATAAAACTCTCTTTTCCTCCCCAGTTTAATAACCATTCTATAAAGCCCACAGAGTCGCCTTTGGCCTCCAAGGAGACCCTCGAATTCCCGCGAGAGTGACATTCTCGCCTCCGCAAAGCAAAAACACCAAAATCTCTCTCAATTCTCTCATTTTACACTCCCACACCCCACAATCACGCGAAACACCCCCCGACAATGGCTGTGATTTTCAAACTGCGATCCAACGAGGACTGTCGTGTCGTATGTTGAGCGATTGCATGGAAATTTGACGCGAGAACTTCCTCATATCTCGCGGAAGTGTAAAATTAAATTTGATGTTCGTTATCAATAGCGTCACAATTCGATATTGTACCATATTTATCACAGGAATACGCACTAGATAACATTCCTTTCCTGACACAAATTCAGCCCGCGACAGCAACAGCATCGCCATGTGTAATGGCCTTTATTCACCGCCACTGAAGACACCCTTTCATTGCCTTTGCAATACATGCAGAAAATCGTGCATTAAATCTCGTGATTTATTCTGATGCAAGCAATTTGCATTCTTGCACTTTGAAGATTAATCCAAGATAAATTATAATCTCTCGCACATTTAACTATTCTCAGAAATGCGAATATACCTTGAGGTTATTGGTGGTTTTTCCAACTAAACTTTATACCTTTCTTACCGCCATTCATAATTTTTCACGAGAAAATATCAATTTTCAATGCAAAAAATATGATAGTTTTTCTTTCCTTCTCGCCATCTCTTTCCTCGCCAACCACTAATTAGATAATCGATGAATTCATTTTAATAATAACTATGTATTCAACATTAATTAATGGGCATGCTGAAGGAGAGAAAAAAAACTTGAATTTCAGCACAAAAAGAGAAACACCCAGTGTTGGATGTGGAATTAAATTCACTTACTTTATATTATGTACAAGAGTGTGACCTCGAGAAACCACCCAGAACAACATTCAAATTATTCTTCGGATAACAGACAACATTATCGTTCTTTTTACGAGTGTCACACTGGATGCAGACTATCTTGGGATTACTAAAAGGAGTGGTTCTTCTCAGAAATCTTCAAAATTCAACATTCTGTCGCACCCTCGATCTCTCCGCAGATTTGCTAAATCACGTACCGTTTTATGGAAATTTATAATGCATGTCAAAGGTTCAACTATTAAAGGGTCATTGGACTTCAATTTTCCATTAAGAATTCTCAAAATTCTGACAAACTAACGCTAGAATTAGCCGTTTCTGAAAATCCATCCTAGATCAAAACATTTTACGGCGATCAATAACAATTTTATTTTTATGCCAAACTGTCAATAACAGATAACATGAACATGTTATCAATTTTATAATATTCCAATTAGGTAATTTGAACTTCAAATGTTTACAATACTTGCGCTGACTGAGGAACAATCATTCGTCGTATTCTGAGAAATTCACTGCTTTCACGGAATTTGTTGCAATCGCAATTCAGTAACCATAATAAAATAATAAATGCTCTGTAATGAAAATTTTAGTATCACTGATAGCGGATGTCGTTCTCAGGTAAACTTTTGTGGCTGATTCGCTTATATTTGATCATTTTTGATAATAGATTCTTTTCATCTGATCATAAAAAGGAAAAGAAAACAGAAATTGTGATGTGAAATGCCAGTTTATCCATTAGAAGAAGGTAAAAAATATATAGAAAGATTGTCAATAAAAATATCAAGCAATCGAAACGATTCCAAACACCCTTTCGCTATTCTCCTGCGAAAATCACTTCAATTGTAAAGATGTTTTCACTGAAAGCACTTCCCTCAACAATCCCCTGAAATTGCGAGAAAATTTGATTTTACACATGTATTAAATTTCTGTCTTGGACGTGAAATATAGACGTCTTGCCAGAAAGTTCTCCCTTTGTGAAGGGGGTGAAAATGGCGAAAGTACTCGCAGTTTGAACATCACTGAATAACGTCACTATTTTCGTACTTCATGTATATATATATTCATGTATTTCTGGGGGCGCAATTTGCCGAAAGGGGAGGGTGGGGGTGGGCAGATTGGACGGATTCGCCGTGGCGGCGAGAAGTGGAATGAATGGTGAGACAACAGACTGACAAAAATAATATGCATTGAGCGCCCACGGATTTCACTCCCTCGCACTCTCTCTCTCTTCGGGGCGCTGAGAGCGTCTCCCACGCAAATCAAAGGGCGCCATTTGATGTGCTCCAACATTGAGGGAGGTCAGAAAGGTCTCTTCTCATCACGTCGCTCAGTCGTGGGGGCGATATTTCTCGCCTGACTCCTCTGAGCTCGACAGGGGTTGCGCCACGAGATCAATCGAGCCTTTTCACTGGGCTCCGGAGATCAGGTGGTGACTTTCCAGCTGGCTATCTGGCCCAGAAGACGCAGTATGAAAACCCCACACAAACTATGCCTATTCTGTACCTCCGGACGCGAGTGTCTCAGCGAATTGATAAAGCCACTGGTGAAAAAGCTAAAACTTAGGAATGAATATAAATATAATTCCTGTTTCCGAACGCAGTTTCGTTATTCAAGATTTTCAGGTCTCTGATAAACCGGTCTGATTCAGTAATTTTCGGAATGACTCCAAAAGAATCGTGATTTGTTAGAGACCTGTGTCTGCCACACTCCCGGACTCCCGTAGGCCGCGCTTTTCACCCTCTCTCTCTCTCTGAGCTCTTCCAATTGAAAACCACTTAGAATACCCGTCCAAGAGGCCACCACGAGAATTCCCTCTGTCGTCAGGCGTCCGGAAGAACCCACAGTGGAAAATAATTGCAAGAATTGATAAGCAAAAAGCCCCACAAATCCCAACTTGTGCCATCTTCCCAGAATCATCTCGTGTTTCCACAGGGGATTCCCCATCTGCCCGCGCGACTCCAAGAGTCCCCTCGTCGCTTATTGCGTGGCGCCCTTGAAAAGGCGATGCAACAAAACACGCTTCAGCAGCAAACAACTTTTTGCCAGCTCTGGACACCTTTTTTTGCCATCACCATCGCGGTTCTTCGCCGTCTTTTTTTCGCAGACGCCCCACAAGTCCACCATCGACCGCCGCGGACGCATAGCATAAATCCATTGCGCGATGTGTCCTCAGAGCCCCGCGGGGGCACCGCCAGCAAGGCTGAGACACCGTGGCAGGCGTGGAATTGGCTGATTTGCAAGCGGAGACGGAGATTTTGTGGCAACATACGGAAAGGATGAAAACGGAAACAACGCCCAATGGAGGTAGGCCGTCATGGGGCGCTACGCCACTGGCCTTCTATCCAACTTACATCGTCCGTGCGTGAGCAGCAGCCTTGTGAGTCACTTGTGGACAATATTTTCACAATTTGAGCACTAATTTAACATGAAATTTTTTTGTACAATTAACACCACAACTGACGGCTCACTTGGCGAAACACTTTTTTGACAGTGGGGAATTTCTTTCAACGCCACGCCAGCAGCGCACTCTGGCGTGGGACAAGCGCACCAGTGAATTGGACAATTCCACATCCCGACTGAACGGCTCCAATCTGAAAACTTTTATATGCCTTAATGTATCCAATATTCTGCGAAGTACAGCATTGAGGGAGGCGATCATCTGGGTATGTTTTGTGGAAAGCAATCGCATCAAGAATTCACCAGTCAAACAATCGTGTGTTTTTCTCAAATTCCCACATAATTTGTGATCTTCCTATATCTAAATATAATCAGAAGTGCTTCAGAAGGAGATGAGTCTAATAAACAATGGATATCAGCTGAAAGACGATATAAGAGAGAGCTTTCTGTAAGCATAATTTGTACAAAATCAGATTTGTTTACATCCACACAGCAATCTGAATCAAAACACTAATCAAAACTAACTTTACAGACTCGCGGAGAAGAAGAAAGATTTGGGCAATGAGCAATACAAGATTAAGAACTATGCTAGAGCCATACGGTTCTTCTCTGATGCAATATCCTTGTGCCCAAACCATCCAGCCTACTTTGTCTACCGTTCGGCCTGCCACATGATGCTGAGTGACTTCAAGCAGGCTCTGGCCGACGCCAGATATGCCGTGAATCTCGAGCCGTCGTTTGATAAAGGCTTCATTCGAATAGCGAAATGCTGTCTTATGTTGGGCGATTTAGCGGGATTCGAGCAAGCCGGCAAGGCTCTCATGAATCTGGATCCAAAAAGCACAGCTCTCAATATGGAAATACAGAATATTATCCAATTGCGAGATCTCGAAGCTAAAAGTGTGGCTTTGTATGAGAAGAGAGATTTCCGATCAACGATATTCCAATTGGACAATGCATTGAAAATCGCTCCGGCATGTCAGCGATACAAATTGCTAAAAGCCGAGTGTCTGGCTCTCCTGGGAAATGTTGATGAAGCAAGTGCAATTGCCCTGAACATTATGAAAGAGGATAGGAAGTGCGCTGAAGCCACATTCATTCGTGGACTTTGTCTGTATTACATGGGAAACTTAGACAAATGCGTAATACTTTTCCATCAAGCATTGACTCTCCAGCCGGATCATCAGAAAGCGAAGATGTATCGGATGACTGCTCTCAATCTGAAATCATGCAAGGATTGCGGAGATGAATTGTTCAAAGCAGGCAGATTTGAAGACGCTTATGCGGCCTACTCAAAAGCCCTGCAAATTGACCTGTCCAACAATGATGCCAACAGCAAATTGTACTACAAACGTGCTCAAATGAGTTACGAGATGAAACTGAAGAAAGACTGCGTGAGAGAGTGCAGTTCAGCGCTTGATATAAGGAATGACTATTTGGATGCAATTCTCCTGCGGGCTAAATGCTACAGTGAATTGGAAGAATACGAGGAGTCTGCGAGAGACTACGAACAGGCATTTAAGATGGTGAAATCTGCAGAAATCATAGAACTTCTGCGAGGAGCGAAGTATGACATGAACAAACCCAAGACTTTCTGCTACTATAAGACTCTGGGTGTTGATAGAAATGCCACTGGCGAGGAGATCAAAGCGGCTTACAGGAAACGTGCTTTGGTTCATCATCCAGACAGGCATATTCTCTTGCTGGAGAATGAGAAAAGAGAGCAGCAGAGGAAGTTCAGAGAAGTCGGACAAGCATACACTGTTTTGTCTGATGTTCAGAAGAAGGCAAGATACGACAGTGGACAGGATCTCAGCAAATGTGAGGCAGATTTTGATCCTACGGAAACTTTCCAGAAATTCTTCTTCTCCGCCAATCAAGGATCTTTTCATATTCAATTTTAATTAAAAAAAAAAAGCTGAAATAATCGAGTTTTCATATTTATATTGCTTCTGCGTGAGGTGAGCTTCTGGCTGGGTCGATTTGTGGGACGTATATTCCACATTGTGCCACTGGAAGCTGTGGAACGTGGAAGTCTGGTGTGAAGGCTGCGCGAAAGTCGTCGGGCGACCGCGAGTTGGATTTCATTTTCACATAATCTCTCGATATTGCGTGAGGAAGAGTCCTCCTCGAGGTGACCAGTGCGTGCACGCGTGCGTTTGGCAGTGCGATAAACAATGGATAGCAGTCCAATTGTGATCACAGACGACGAGGACGTGAATATGGGAAGTGGGACAGCAATGGACGACGATCTCCTGCCCCAAGACAGCCTCTCGTGAGTTGTTTTGCTCCGCTTTGTTTGCCTGTGAGGGGGCTGGAATTCTCCACCCGCTAACCCACTTTGGGCGGCCATGCTAACGGGGTTGAATGACTGACGCTGGTGGTTCGAATGCTATTTTGAGCCACAGACGACCGACTTTGTCTCTTCTGCATTTTTTTCCGCTCCGGGGAGACTCCCGGACGTCCTCCGCATTGGAGATTTCCATGATTCAGTGTGCTCGGCACACGGAGTGGATGACCTTTCTCCACGCCACACACAAAGAGCTGGGAAGTGGAGTGATATTTTTCTTTTTGGGAACACTGCGTGGGCTTCCCCAAAGCGCAGAGCGATCTGTGCGGTGACTTCAGACAACCGGTACCAGCGACTGACTCATGCTCGCGCCTCACAGACTTCCCAGGTGTTTTTCCATCACCCACTAATCTTACGCGCTGTTTTGCTCTCCGCCAGGCTCGCCGAGAAGAAGAAGGATCTGGGCAATGAGCAATACAAGATCAAGAACTACGGCGCAGCTCTCAAACTGTACTCCGATGCCATCTCGCTGTGCCCCAACTTGCCGGCCTTCTTCGGCAATCGCGCCGCCTGCCACATGATGCTGGGCGACTACAAGCAGGCCCTCAGCGACGCCAGGCAGGCCATCGACTTGGATCCGGGCTTCGAGAAGGGCTTCATCCGCATCGCCAAGTGCTGCCTCATGTTGGGTGAGTCCCGGGCATCCCTCGAGACAGGCGCTCGCCAATGTTTGCCGCCAATTATCACCAATTAGCTGGTGAATCACTTACACTTGCGTCAAATTCACTGGAAAAGTATTCGCTCTAATGTCTTTAGAGAGACACGAATTAGTGAACAATGCTAATGATGAGGAACTCACACAATTCCTGACCAACGGAATAAAACCCCAATTGAGCATCTATTTTGGTCCAGAGCGGCATTCTAAGTGAAAATCAATAGTACACCTTTTGCCGCTAAGGTCAAAAGTGTAACTCGATGCGGAGAAAGGGGACAATTGTCCTTCCTCGCAAGCACTTATAAATACGCTTCTGTATTCCCTATCAATACTTTAGTAACCACGCAGAATTTCTTAGGCCAATCGATAGCCAGAGCGCAGATAAAGGAGTGTCATGTGAATTTGCTGTAAATTATCTATTAATTTCTCTGACACTCGTTATCGATCTTAGAAATTTTCAAACAAGGCGTAAATTCTTTCATCGCGTCACAAGAGATTTTTTTTGATTGGGCGATAAAATCATTTAACGCAAATTATACAAGGTAATTTAGATCAGAAATGTGTGAGAGATTGTAGCGAAAATGGGCTTTTTTTTAAATTGATAAGGCAGATAATTAAATTGGTTGACGTGGAAAAAGTGTTGTGAATTAGAAAAATGCGAATTATCCATCTTTCGCATGGCAGAATTTCTTATCAGTTTCTCATGTGATTTCAGGCAATTGCGGTGAGAGATTAATTTTCTACTTCCTGCCATAATTTGTTGGAAATTCAATGCTAAACTCTCCCACTGAGAATTTTTAATGGGCGTTTGAAGATTGGACGAAAAGGGAGGAGAAAATGAATTTCATCGTCATAAATCATGAAGAAGCACATTTCTTCCAATGATGAAATAATATATTTCCCTACTCAAATTGTCGAATGATGGGAGAATTTCTTCCTCGTGGCCATGAAAATTGATGGAAGAAAAACAGAATTTTTTATTCAAATGATGCAAACAACAAACAAAGCGAGAGAAGTCAAAATAGTATCTTATCAAGGCTTGGGAGTGAAAATCACGATGCTCTCAAATTAACACGCAAGTTTACGCAAGAAAATTCAGACTCCAAATATTTCCACAAATCATCTTTTCTGCCTCAACCTTGACATTCAATTGCTTTCATAGTTGGGATTTTGGTGGTGAAAAGTCTCGTCAATTGGGATAAAATTAGGTGTTCTTTGAGACAAATTCTCAGTGACGATCTTAAAAGCTAAATGAATGTCTGATGATCTATTTTTGCCACCTTCTCACGATGACGACACACAGACTTTAAAATCTTCTTGGCGCGGAAGAAGAGTGTGTCTTTCTTTAAATGTCCAATTAAAAAATCCCTCTTCCATCTTCAAGGCAAAATGCGGATATTTTTGCATTGAACTCTTGAATGTTTTTCCTGCAAAAAAGTCAAATTCATATTGTAAGAGTTTACTTTATTGGTTTGAGGAAATACAAATAGACTTTCTGAACAATCACGAAATGCAAGGCGCAAAAAAAATCCACTTTGTGTGTACAAAATACAGTGAGAGAGAGAAAAGGAAAAGATGTTTTTCAATGCCATGTAGTTTTACATAGCAAAATAATAATCTTTCTACAAGTTGAAATGCAGGCGGTGTTGATTGGTAATTTCCCAAACGATTCAAATGGGCGTTTGTGAATAAATAATTACCAACTTGCAAATGAATTCATATTGAAATTGTGCAATATTAGACTTTTGAATTTGTAGTGAATCCATAATTTCTCAGGAAAATCATATTTGGAGAGGACAATAATTGACATTTTTCCAGTGTTTGGCTTTCATTTGTATATATCGAATGGAGTGTTATTGATTTTACTGCGAATGTTGTCCTTGGACCAAAATAAACGCTTTGTCCAGGTGAAATCTATTTTCATCTCTGCACAGGTAGCGATTTAAATTTGAGCTGCAATCCGAAGGTTAATGAATTCAATTGAATAATTTACTATTTTAACTCTCTGCCATGATATTCTATCTATCAGAATCAGATTTGTTCGAAAATATGCTACAGATTCGTGAAAATGTAATTCTGCAGAATTTACACAATATTTTTCCACCTTCATTCAGTCATTTGACGCTAGAAATGTGAATTGAACTAATTCTATTCGGTCAAGTGGGCAATCTTGTGATAAGAAAGGCTATTGCTTGCGTTGCTAATGCCTTTGCTGTTGGATTTTTCTCCGCAGGAGATCTCGTGGGCACTGAGCAGGCGGTGAAGGCGCTGCTGAACCTGGAGCCAAAGAGCGCAGCCCTGAATGCGGAGATGCAGGGTGTGCAGCAGCTGCGCGAGCTGGAGGCCAAGAGTATGATCTCGTATGAGAGGAAGGACTTTCGCACGACCGTGTTCCAGATGGACAGCGCCCTGAAGATCGCGCCCGCGTGCCAGCGCTTTCGACTGCTCAAGGCGGAGTGTCTGGCGCTGCTGGGACGCGTGGATGAGGCGAATGACATCGCTGTGAACGTGATGAAGACGGACTCCACGGCCGCCGATGCGGTGTACGTGCGTGGACTTTGTCTGTACTTCCAGGACAACCTGGACAAGAGTGTAATACACTTCCAGCGTACGTTGTCGCTGGATCCGGATCACCAGAAGGCGAAAGTATGGCGCGTGAAGACGCGACAGCTGAAGGAGCGTAAGGATCGCGGTACGGAGCTGTTCAAGGCGGGGAAGTTCAGGGAGGCGCACTCGGCGTATTCGGAGGCGCTGAAAATTGACGAGATGAATAAGGAGGTAAACAGCAAGTTGTACTACAATCGGGCGCTCATGTCGTACAAGTTGGATCTGCGAAAGGACGCCGTGCGCGACTGCAATGCGGTGCTGAACATCAAGAGTGACTACTTGAAGGCGATTCTCCTGCGTGCCAAATGTCACACTGAGCTGGAGCTGTACGAGGAGGCGGTGCGGGATTACGAGCAGGCGCTCAAGGTGGAGAAGACCAGTGAGATCAAGAATATGCTGCGAGACGCCAAATTGGCGCTGAAGCGATCGAAGAGGAAGGACTACTACAAGATCCTCGGCGTGGGCAAGAATGCCACGGATGATGAGATAAAGAAGGCGTACCGAAAGCGAGCTCTCATCCATCATCCGGATCGACATGCCAATTCCACGGATGACGAGAAGAAGGAGCAGGAGAAGAAATTCAAGGAAGTGGGACAGGCGTACTCGGTGCTGTCGGATCCGCAGAAGAAGGCGCGATATGACAATGGACAGGATATCGATGAGTCCGGAATGGATTTTGATCCCACTGAGGCGTTCCAGCGATTCTTCTTCTCCTCAAACAGCGGCTCCTTCAATTTCCATTTCCAATAGATGTCAGACTGGGCAAGACCTCTGTGAGCGTTAAAGTCAAAATTCCAAAACCTCTCCCACATTTACACTAAATTCCCACGTTGTATTCTCTCGTACCGGGGCGCCTCTTGATGCGCCAGATATTCAATTAGAAATTGCCTGTAATTAAGCAATTCATTGATGGAACATAGAAATAAAGATGGATAAATGGAAGTCACTTCGGTGTTCATTGACCTTTGGCCTCATTACTCAATCATCGATCCATTGTATGGAGATTCAGCACTGTTGCATGCGTGGGTATTGGCTTCACGCGGGAAAATCACAGTAAAATGGAAATCGAAATGAAATTTTGGACTGTGGATTTGAGCTGAAATCTCGCTGAAACATCATTCCATGAAGCACGAAACCGTGAAACACGAAGCCACGAAACACGAAGCGAGACAAAAGCAGACGCAGCAAGGAAGAAACGCCAGTGTTGAAACATGGCAAAACCCGTAATAAAAAGACATTGCAATTTAATTTTTATGTATTATTTATTATTCTTGTTTTCTTCAGTTTTTTAATCTTTTATATATTTGCATTATATTTTATTTTATATGTACAAAATATACAGAAGGTACAATATTTCAATATTATTTTATTATAATGATCACAATTAACTTTTCATTTTCTCTTTATCATTTTTACTTTTACATAATAATATTTATTAAATCTTCTACGAGGCTTTTTATCTTTTTCTCATTTTCCTCTTCAACTGCTATTGATCGGGAAAAAACATAATTTGTTTTGTTACTTCTTCTCATCAAGAAAAACTAAATAAAATTGGTGAATAAATCGTTGAAAAAAAATTTAGTGAAAGAATATGAGAAAAATTACACCAAAAAAAGAGTGACACAAAGGTAGAAAAATGAATTTCTATGGGTAATTTTTATGCATTTCTTTTTAGTAGCTTTGTGTTGTCCATCGTTCTAATCAATTACATAATGTTCCTCTATTTATTATATTTCTTGCAATATATTATAGGGTTTTTCTTGTTACGTTAATTCGCTATCTAACTTTCTTCTTGTTGTTTTTTCTCCACTTTAATTTTTAAACTTCTTTATGCATTTTTACCTCTTTTTCTCAATAGTTTTTTAATATTGTTATATTAATAGTTTTTACTTGTAATTTTTTCATCTCTTTATAATATTTGTTTCTTCTTACGCAAATATTTATATTGTAAATATTATAACTTACAGCATTTTATTCACTTTTTACTTTTCATCTTCTAATTTTATAGATTTGCAATTTTTTCTCTTCTTCTCTTTTCTGTACAAAGAAGATTTCCACTTGTTTTTTTTTATACAGTTAACATAAAAACAAATTTTTTTTCCAATAAATTTTTACTTCTACCATTCTCACTGCCTTCTCGACACTTTCCAGGTTCTCTCTAAACTACTAAAGAATTTTACTTCACTTTTGCAACTACGAAAAAACTTGTTTTACGACTGTGATTTTTTTTTTGGATTCTCTTTATTAACTCTTTCTGCACAAAAATGCTCTACATTTCTAATTTTGTATTTCATGATTTTTCTTCTACACCTCTTTCTCCCTCTTTCAACTCATCTTCCTTCCAATTCAGTGAGCTTTTAAGTAGTAAAAAGAAAAGTGAAACAATGCGAAAACTTCACTTTCACAAGCATCAATTTTCGGGATGAAAATGTGGGAAAATTCGCCAATTGATAAATTTCAAGTAAAGAAAATCATTAGAAAAATCATAAGTAAATATTTAAATTTCCCTCCGCCGAAACTTCCTCTCTTGTTTTCTTTTTTTGCTTTTCTTTCAACACAGAAAAAAGACTTGGTTTTGCAATGCAAAAATATAGAAAATAAAAGTCATCTTCTTAGAAAATAGTACATGTAAAAAAGTTGCTTCTCTCTCTCTTTTCAAATCTACAAACTAAACAAGATTAAATTAATTCCTCAGTTAATTCTACATCATTAGAAAATAATATATTAAGAAATATTTACACAGGGACTTAGATTTATTTTATACACCGGACATTATTTTTTTTGCTTCATCTCTCTAAAATTTACAAAACTTACAAGATTTTTCTGCTTAAATTCTTTTTACATTCGCCATTTGTGTGTGTGTGTGTTTTTCCTTTTTCTTCATCTACATTATTTTGCAAAAAAGAACTCATCTCGCGCTCATCTTTCAATAGTGAAACTTTTTTTTTACCTCATTTTCCTCCCTCTTCCTTCAAATTCTTGTATTTTTTCTGTTTATGGATAAATGATTTCTTTTCTTTTATTTTTGTTACCTTGTTTCATATCTTCACGACTTCTATTGTAAATCTGTAATGCATCTTTTTTTTCTCTCACTTCTAAGCAGCCTCCGCAGAGGAAGAAATAACAATAAATCTATTTGGTGGTATGAGTTTTAAAGACATTCTGCACTTCTAAACATAAAATATTCCTACCCTTTTACTTTCTCTTTTTTCTTCTTTAACTATTTTGTTTTCTTATTACTTGCTTTTCACGGTTATTCTTTAAATTGTAGAAACTTTTTCAAAGATTGAGTGTGTGACTGTTAAATGATTTTTTGTCTGGGGTAAATGTTTGTAAAAGTGTGTGACCAAGAAAAACTACACTTCATGTTATTTACTCAAAGGAAACTCTCTCTTTCTTGCTCTTCATCATGCTGTAAATAATCTACTTGTTGCTTACTTTTTCTGCTTTTTTTTCTTAAATATTTTTCTCTTGACTCTCTACACATGTGACATTACGTTTAAAACTTGATGAATTACTTTGCTTTTTTTTCCTTAATAAGAATGAGATCAAATATCGTAGTTTGTCCTTTCATCATCCATCAACTTTTGGCTCCCTTTCTTTCTATCTTTTTCTCCACTTCTTCTTCATCGTCAAATTTTATGTGTGTATTGTCTGCGCATCGCGAGATTCATCCTTCAACACAGCGCGTTTCTCTAGACCGTCGCAATGACAATCAGAAGATGAGCAATGTCAGCCACGCGGTGAAGGAGATCCGGTGCAATTCGGGCCAAATTGTCATTGGCAAAGTCACATGAGGGAAAGATGTGCACCACATACGCAGCCTGTTGACTGCCCGGCGCCGCGATGTTCACAATGCCGGCCGCTTGCTTCTGCTGCAAATACGTGATGAAGCCCGACTGCAGATTCTTCGATTGCTGCAGCACATCCAGGTGGTCACGACCACAGGGCAGAGCCAGAAGCATGCAGTGCTCATTGTCCGTCTGCCACGAAACAGAGAGAAACAGTTTAGAATTCACAGCACACAAACACTTTAGCAGCTATTGCTTAAATCACTCACCTGCATCTTTCGCGCCACTCCCTCCAGCTGTGTCTGCTCCAGACGCATCCTCTGGGCAATCCTCAGCGGTGGTGTGGAGCCATCACTGTTGCACGGCAGCGAATCGCCCGCCACTTGAGGATTGCCAAACACAAAGTGCATCTGCACGGCCGCCTGGTCGTTCTTCAGCGCCAGCAATCCCTGCCACATCACCGGATACCGCTGCAGCAGCATCAGCAGCGAGTCCGCTTGCGGTGGCACTTGACTGGCATGAGGTGGAGTTGCCGCTTGCAAATTGCGTCCCGTCGGCGCTGGCATGGCTGGCACCAGAGTCCCATGACTCGGCATATTGGCATGGCCTGAAGGAAAGAGAGAAGAACAATCAGTTCTCCCCACAAACGCCCCATCTCCGTCACGAGGACACTCACTTGGAATAGAGGCTCGATTCTCACGCTCCTTGTCACGCTCCCTCTGCTCACGCTCGCGCTCCAGCGTCTTGGGATGCTGCGAGTACATGTGGGACAGATTTGTCGGGGTGGTCGGCACACTTGGGGCTCCATAGTTTGTCGGTGGATGACTCATGGGAGCCACAACGCTGTGTGACGACGGTCGATGTGCCGGCGGTGGTTCAGCGGGCAATGGACGCGCCGCCGCTGACTCATAGTAACTCCTGGCGCCGGCATCCGGATAGTGAGGATGAGGTATTCTCGTGCCGGACACGTACACTTGAGCCACTTGCGGTGAATCTGCACAAGTGCGGATGATTAGCGGAATTCCTGGCAGTTTGCCAAATGAGACTCTCTTACCAGTTGCACGATCCTGCGGACTCTGCAGACTGTGAGGAACAGCAGTGGTTGTTCGAGGTCCACTAGCAGGACGTCTCAGCTCCAGTGGCGGACTGGCCACCGAAGTGTCGTCCATCTCTGAGATTTCACTCTTCTGATCTGCCGCTCCCGGAAGCATTGGTGATCTACAAAATATGCCACATTAAATCCTCACATTCTATGATTTGATTAATCATGACAAAACATACCTTGGCATATGATATGGAATTCGGGCTCCATGATTCAGGGCTTCCTGCGCTCTAATGTACTGATGATGGTACATCATGATGTGATGATCTCTGGGCACTCCGCGCAGTGGAACAGGTGGATATGGTCCTTCTCCCTGCAATAAAGACAACGACACACACACACACATTAGCATCGCTTAATTGAGAAGCAAATCACATCCTCAAACTGAAGCAAACATCTCAAGAGTGGAAAGAGACATTTACCGGAGTTATCGGAGATGCCTGCTGATGAGCAGGTGGAGGACTCTGTGATCGTGTCAATCCATAGCCACTCATTTCATTGTGCTACAGATTATATTGTGACAATGAGAGCAGCGTCCAGGAAGATTAAATATGACAATTGTTATTCCAAACATCTAAAATACACTGTTGATAAGAGACAAAGAACAGTGTTTTACTCACCAGACTAGCTTCAAAGGCAGGAACTGGCAGACCAGCTTGCAGGATGTGACCACGAGCCTGTCCTTGTGGACTGATCGGAGGCACAGTGACCCGAGAACTGCTGGCTCCTGTGAAACACAACAACAACACACTGTCAGTACGACATTCTTCGCGACTGAGAAAAACACACAGTTCTCACCTGTAACAATCGGTTGTTGACTGCTGAGATGTGGCTGCTTGGGCGGTGGACTGGCCACGGCACCGGTCAGGATCTGTGGCGACTGATGCAATCCCATGACGCCCTTGTTCTGTGGCGGCATTCCGGGTGGCAAAATCTGTGCCGTCGCCGTCTGAATGTGCTTCGTCGCCTGATGAGCCACACTCGGCGCCACGTTGGCCATCATGTGCTGCTGCTGCTGCGGCGTCGCCTGGCCGACCGACTGACCCAGATGCAGAGGCTGCTGCTGTGGCGGCGCCTGCTGTTGCTTCACCACCAGATGATGCTTCTGAGACGCCATGGCGTGCTGCTGCTTGGCCAACTGCTGCTGATGGTGCTGCTGAATCTGCTGCTGCACTTGCATATGCTGCTGCTGTTGCTTTGTCAGATTTGCCACCGATGGTGACTGAATCTGAGGAGGAGGAGGCGATGGCTGAATCACCTTTCCACTCTGCAACACAGTAGCATAGCCCGTTGGCGGTGGCTGAGGCATCATCTTCCCACCATGGATAACCATCTGAGATGTCTGTTGTTGTTGCTGCTGTTGCGGTGACGCTGACGCTTGACTCTGACCACCCTTCTGGCCCAGGTGAATGGGCTGCGGTTGGTTCTGAGCCGATGGTTGTGTCTGCTGCTGTGTTATTGTGATTTGCTGCTTCATCGGCGACGGATGCTGCACCACACGCGGCGACAGTGTCGCTCCAGGCGATGCAGAACTCACCGGAGGCACGTTTATGATCAGATTGTGTGGCATTCCGGGTGGACCAGGTGGTTTGCCTTGCGCCTGTGGCGGTCCCAGATTCTGATGCATCTTCCCCTGCTGATTCTGCATCACCACACTCGGCGTTGGCTGAGGAGGAGCGCTCTGCTGAACTGGCTGTGGCGCCTTCATATGCACCTGCTGCGGCTGGGCAGCCATAGACGTCGGTGGCATGTGATACTGTGTCTGTTGAGGTGGCGCCTGAACGCCCGGATGTGGTTTGGACATCGTCTGTATCACAATGGGCTTCATGGTGGCCTGAGAGTTCAGCATGTGCGCCTTCAGCGGGTGAGTTCTCGGCGGCTGAGACTGCTGCTGTGGCGAAGAACTCGTGATGATGGTGGCCGCCGAGGAGGTAGGATGGACAGAGATGGGCGCTGACACTGGCATCGGCAGTGGAATTGACACATTCGTCACCGTTGTCGATCCAATTTGCTTCCCAACGAATCCCTGTGACACCACAGACACCGTCGCCACGTTGGGATTTGGCTGTGGCATTGGGTGCTGCGGTGGCGGCAGAGGAATTTGCTGCATCTGAGATTGAGACATTTGCTGTTGAGGCGGAATGTGTGGCTCCTGATGGACTTGAGGCTTCACCTCAGGCTGCTTCAATGGCATTCCCTTTGCCATCTGCTGCTTGGCCATCATTTGCTGCACTGCTTGATTGGCATTTCTTGGCACCGGAATGTACTGTCCCTCCTTGCTCTGGCGCATCATCATCAACTCTCCAGTGACTGGATCAATGAGAGTAGTTGAGGCGTCATTTGGCACAACACCAGGAATTGGTTGTGGCACCATTTCCGGCTTCATGGGCTGCTCATGAACCACTGTTTTCACCTTTTCAGTTGACAAATTCTCAGGCTGAGGCTGTTCCAACTTCTTCACCTCCACAACAACCTGTTTCTCCTCTGCCATCATCGATTCACTGTCCATCTTCCTCTCCTCACTGCTATCCGTGGAAGTCTCTGAGAGCTTTCTGTCCTTATTTCGACTCGTTCTGTTTGCTCTCGGCGATTTTCTCACATCCACATTTGACACCTTCTCCGGCACAATCGGCTTCACAGCCACAACAGGAGCTGGAGACATATTCATGGTGCTCCTCGTGGTCCTGCGTGGTGGAGTTATGCTTCCTGCCTTGGGAGAATTAGCCACATTCTTCACCACATCCTCAATGATATCATCCACAGTGCTTCTGCCATCGCGCTCTTGCAAGCGTCGAGATTTTCGCGTATTGGCAGCTGGAGATGTGAAATCATCATTTGATGAGCCTCCTGATGCCGGAATCTGAGGTGGACTCGGATTAGATATCTGAGGAACACTCATATTCTCAGCAACAGGCGGTTGACTCGGCTGAGGATGCGCTATCGGCTGAACACTGCCTGGCACACTCGTAGTTGGCGGTGGAACACCAGGAGCTGGACTCTTGATGGTGAGAATAAGCCTTGGACGACCATCGTCAGCAGCGGACGCTTTCGCAACTCCCGGATTCACTTCCTCACCCGAATCCTCGTGGAATTCATAGACATCCGACTCTGAGTTCTGATTGCGAGTCTTGCGATCGGTCGTTGCAGATGTTGATGGCGTGGTCGAAGGCGACACATTGGCCACAGTGCCTCGGGTCACTCTTCCACCCTTGCGCCGATTCGCCGTCTTGCCACCTCTCCTCGTCTGCACGCCACCAGGCACCTGAGCTTCCATCGCAGCCCCCACGGAATCCGGAGACTCAATATTATTGTTATTGTTGGCTGGAACTTTCAGTGATTCCACACTAGCATTCTCTGATGTCTTCCTGCCCCTGACACCACGTCCGCGCTTCCTGGCACCGTCTCTGGCATCAGGATTGTCACAGACACCCTCATCAAACTCCTCATCACCGTCCACGACTTCTGGTTGACTCTCCTGACCGCTGATTTTGCTTTCTGCACTTTCCGCAACCAAGGGAGTCTCTTTCCGAGCATCTCCGTCAACTTTCGAGCTGTCCTGAACACTTGGACTCTCCTCAGGCCAGTCAGCGGTTTTCGTCGTGACTTCAGAGCCTTCCTCAGATGTGTCCTCCCCAGAACAAAGAGCATCGACCTTCTTGATCACCGATTCAATATTCACCTCCTTCGCCGACCAGTAATCACTGTCTTCCTTCGAGTCTTGCTCCATATGCTCATCCGTGGCACTGGACAGCTTGATGACATTCTCCTCGGTCAACAGAGACGAGCTCTCTTGCCCAGAAGAATTGCCAGACTTGATGACAGACGGAGGATCTTCCTTTGGCACTGTCTTCTCCTCTTCTTGAGCATCCAGCGATGCAGGTGGTTGATCTTTGGGAAGCTCCTTCTTCTCTGGCTCCACCTTCGCCAACTGCGGTGTTCCAGTTGGCGTTATTGTCGCTGTGGGAATCACCTGAACGCCCACCTTCATCTGACTTGGCATCGTCTGCTTCACCACCGAAGGATACATTATCGGTTGCTGGGCTTGCGGAGCCATTTTACTTGACTGACTCTGATGCATAACAATGTTGGATTGCTGCAAAATCTCCCCAGATTTGCTCACACCCTGAATTATTGATTGTTGCTGTTGTTGCTGAAGGTGTTTCTGTTGATTCACCATTTGCTGCTGAATCTGAATCTGTTGCTGCACCAAATGCTGATGCTGTTGCTGTGTCAAGTGCTGTTGTTGTTGCACCATATGTTGTTGATGATGTTGTTGTTGCTGTTGTTGCTGCTGCTGCACCAAATGCTGCTGCTGATGCTTCGCCATCATCTGCTGGTGCTGAATGATTTGCTGCTGATGCATTTGCTTCTGTTTCTGTTGCTGCATCACCTGATGATTCGGATAGTTCTGCTGTGGCAGTTGCAGAATCACGCCCTTCGACAATTTGCTATCCATCATCTCGCCAGGCTGCTGAACAGAAGACGGCTGACTCGGTGGTTTGGGAAGCTGCGTCATGATCTGTCCAGTCTGCTGAGACACAATCTTCGGTGTCACCTGAATGGCCGATGGAGCAGCTGTGGTCTGAACAACCCTCACGACAGTCTGCGGTGGCATCTCTTTGGCATGCGGCTGCGTAGCCGGTGGCTGTTGTGGCTTCTGCTGGCTCGTCATCGGCGGCTGCATCGGAGGCTGCGGCATTGGCTTGGAGATGGGCGTGAGAATTGGCGCCACGGGCACACGATTCATCATCAGATTGTTGTTCATTGGGTGCTGACCAGACGGCGACAACATCTGCCTCTGCTGTTGTTGTATCATATGTTGCGCATGGATCTGCTGTTGTTGATGATGAGTTGTCATTGCAGCTGGACTGAGTTGCTGCGGTGATTGCCTCAGAGAAGGCTCTTGTCCTCGAATAATTGTCGTCGGACTCAGTTGGGAGGAGTTCTTCCCGAATGTCTGTGGCTGAGATGGTTGTGGAGGTGGTTGTTGCTGACGCGGTGACGCCAGTCGAGGATCTCCAGCATTTCTCGGAGACATCATCACACCGATCGGCTGATAGACATAGTGAGGCTGCTCCGGAATATTGATTGTTGGCGGTTGCATGAGATACGGACCGGGAGGCCTCGGCGGTTGCTGCATCTTCTGCGGTGGCGCTTGTTGCGGCAAGAAGTGCTGAGGCTGCGGTGGTGGAGGCGGATGACCAGGCCTGATGGCATTCTGGTAGATTAGCTGTGGCCTCGGGGTGGTCATGATGTTGCTGGCACGAGTTTGAGGCGGATTTGATGTCACCACAATGGTGCCCGAAGATGCTGGCATCATCTTTACAGCCGGATTCTCCACAATGTTCGCCTGGAGTGGCTGAGGTGCTGGTGTTTCCACCAACTTCGACGGAATGGACACTTGCACTGGGATCTGAACTACCTTGGAGATTGCCACTTCTGGCTGTGACACCGGCTGACTGACAGTCTTCGTGATAACTGAAGTGCCACCTGTAGTAGGAGGAGTTGTGGTGACTTTCGGAGTTTCTGGAGTCTTCTCGAAAGAGGGCTGTTGCTTCGGAGAAGCCGGCACTTGTGCCTTCTCACTCGCTTCCTGCCGAATAGCAGCCAAGTCCACATCGGGTGTCTTTGGTGGCTGATCCAATCGCAGCCCACTGCCTCCCGACTCCTCCTCCTGCTCCTCAGTGTCCGTGTCAATCTGCAGATCATGTTCAGATTGTGGTGTGTCTGGCTTCAAGTCCAGCTCCTCCGTATTGAGACTCTGGACAGCCTTTCTCATCTCCTCAGCATCTTCCTCAGGAATTAGAGCTTCTGGCACCAGAGATGTTGGACTCTCTTCGATCACCGCGGGACTCTCATAGCAATCCGTGTAGTCTGGGGCAATTGAGGAGCCAAAGCTCTCACCAAGTAGAGCAGCCACGGCATCCTCTGTCTCCTCCTGTGATATAATCACACGAGAAGTCTTGTCATCACCCTTGCCTCCATCTGAACTCTTGGACGACAAGTCACTCTCCGGAAGATCAATCTTCTCATCCAATTCTGCACCTTTCTCCGGCTGTGCTTTGGTGAATTCCGTGCTGATGGACTTCACAGCAGACTCATGGATTGTCTCATCGACCTCACCGCCAAAGCCTGGGATGAATTTCTCAGGTTTCCTCTGCTTCGCTTCGGCATTGCCTTTCAACGATGGCAACACCTTCATCAAAGCATTCACTCTCACTTCCCTGTTGATGGACACTGAGAGATTGGCATTCTTTGACGGCGGCGGCGGCGGACTCTCTTCCAGGAGACACGGCAGACTCGGTGACTGTTTGCTCAGCTTCTGCTCATCCACCAATTTATCCACATTGCTACTATTCACCTTGGCATCCTTGGACTGATGATGTTCTCGCCTCTGGTGCTTCTCCTCCTTCGAGCGCTTCTTCTTTTTCTTCTTCTCCTTCGACCGATGTTGATCGCCCGAAGCCTCCTTCTCCTTGTCCTTGGACATCACATTCTCAATGCTATCATCACCATCGGTGAACCGGAAAACATCCATCACGTCACCACGTGATTCCTGTTTCACAGCATTTGGCATCTCATCGAATTTCGTGTCCATGTCCTTCATCAGTTGTGCTTCCAGAGCGCGTCCTGCCTCATCCAGATCGACACTGTTCTCATCCTCTTTCACCACAGCAACTGCACGAGACTTCTCACGCTCTCGACGCTTCTTCTCCTTCCTCTTGCGAGACTCATCCTTGTGGCGCTCCCGCTCAGATTGCATCGGCAAAACCGTTGAAGCAGACTTGAAGTCATCTCCAGAGATGCCTTTGGAGGGATACAGCAGAGGATTCTCCGCCTTTATCTCCTCCTTCTTGATACTCTCCGACTGCGGATCAAAGATACTGGCCATTGAGGTGGAGAGCGATGAAGGTTCCGTCTTAACCATGTCCGGAAAGGATTGAATTGTGTCGTCATCAGACAATGGTCCAAAGATATCCTCCATTTTCTCTCCTGCAATGATAAAAAAAAGGATGGCAAATTTGAGAATCAACACAATCAATCTTAAAAGTATAAACATTCTCACCTCCTTTAATGAATCCCTTCTGGTTATTATCGTACGAATCACTCATCTTCGACGACTTCTTGTTTTTCTTCACCTTTCCACTGCGCTCGTCACGGAATCTCTCCCGATTCTCGTAATCCTCCTTCGACAGCCTGTCACGTTTCTTGTCCTTGCGACTAGAGTGTTTCTTCTTCTGCTCCGGCATCACTGTATTCTTCTTAAGTTCATCAAACAGATCCAACGGTACCTGCTTCTCCATCTTCACCTCCTCCAACACTTTGATGCTCTTCTCACCACCAGAAGCCTGACTGCTTTCCGTCGGCGTGGTGGGAGGAACACTCTTCTGCCGCTTCTGCTTCTTCTTGTGCTTCTTCCTCGTGTCTGGACTGAAGAGCTGATCAAAGGGATCCTTCTGATTTGTACTGTTCACAGAGATCTCATGCTCATCGGAGGAAATGTTGCACAAGGAGTTCTTGTACAGATCTCCAGACTCATCCTTGGGCTCCATCTTGATGGCTGCCGCAGCGATAAGATCAGTTCCCATCGACTGAGTTTCTTCACTCTCACTGCGATCGAACAATTTGTTACGATTCAGCTTCTCATCAATCTCCGCCTTAACTTCCGACTTGATCTTCAAATCTGACGTGTCCATTTTCTCCTCCTTGATCTTCGACAGCGCCTCATCATCTGAACTATCCGACGCAATTCTGGTCGATCGGGAATTCTTCCTCGAAGAAATCTTCCTGCGCGGCTTCTGATGAATAGCACTGGCTTCAGAACTCTCACCATCGCACAATTCATTGATCTTCTCCCTCAACAGCGAACGTCTCATTTCAGTTTCAGAGTCAGAAATCATCTCCGTCTTCGGGATGCGATTGATTAACATCTCATCCTCACTTGAGGAGTTGATCTTCTTATGATTCATTCCCGACTTCACTGATCTGCGATCGTCCATTTCACTGTCCGTGTCATCATCCCAACTCGTGGAGCGCTTCTTCTCCTCCCTCTTCGCCCTGGACTGCTTCAGCTGCGTGAACTTCGCCTTGATCTTCTTCTCCTCCTCCTGTCTCTGCATGTTCTTGCAGCTGCGCGCCTTCACCTTGTCGTACATGGATATGTAGGTGGGTCCCTCGTCCGGAATATCGAATATGGAATGCTTCTTCGGTTCATCAGAGTCCTCAGAGTCACTGCTATTGTTCATCTTCCTTATCGACGACGACGACGAAGACGATTTGCCCTTGCGACTGTTGTCTGACGAAGAAGACGTCTTCAGAATGTTCTCATCAGTCGTTCCACGACGCTCACTTCCGGAGCGCTTCTTATTCTCACCAGACTCCTTGGATCGCATCTCGTGCTTGTTGAACTCCCCGGAAAACTCCTGTTGAGACGCATCGCTCAGAGATCGGAGTTTGTCACGCTTCTTCTCGCGCTGCTCCTTCTTATGCTGGCGCTGCTCCTCCTCACTCGATCGCATGTCCAACTGCTCCAGGAAGTTCGATCCGCGCTCAGACGGGGAACTCATGTCATGGTCGATATTGTTCATATGATGATGGTGATCATCTGTACGACTGCGATTTGACTTGGACTTGTGCTTGTCGCCACTGCTTCGCCCACTCGACTTGCGATCGCTGTCCTTTCGGTTCTCCCGGCAGCGATCCTCGCTCACGGGACGATCCTCTCCATTTTTTGTCGTCCCCGGCACGCGATGCTTGTCTTTGTGGTGCTTATTCTTCTGCCCATGTGAGTCTCGGGAAATCTCCTTGCGATCAGTTGACATCTTTCGGTGATCATTGACCGTCTTCAGGCGCTTAATCTCTTCAAGATCGTAGTTCTCCTGAGAGCTAAGGCGACGCTTATTAATGGAGCGTGATGGTGAGGAGCTTCTCGAGTTGTTCCTCTCTCGACGTTTTGCATTCACATCGTCATACTTTTCATAAGACGACGTGCTCTCGGACGAGAATTTCTCGGGATTCTCACGATTCTCCTTATCTTTGACTTGATGACGCCTCTCTTCAGCCTCGCGACGCTCATTTTCCTCACGTTCAAGTTCAGCCTTCCTCTCACTTTCCAGGCGTTCACGTTCTTCGCGATCCTTGCGCTCCTTCTCCTCTTTCTCGCGCCTTTCCTCCTCTCGACGTTTCGCCTCTTCTTCACGCTCTCGACGTTCTTTCTCCTCTGCTTCCTGGCGCTCCTTCTCTTCTCGCTCTCGCCGCTTCTCACGCTCGCGACGCTCTCTATCCTGACGAGCCTTCTCCTCACTCTCACTCCTGTCATCCTCGACAGCGTGATGCTCAGTCGGATGGTCGGTTGAGCTCTCCGTCGACGATTCACTGGCCAGTTTTCGACGATCCAGACTGTCTGGTCGACGCTTCGACTCCTCCTTAACTGTGGTGCAATTGTGGCGCTTCCCACTGTCTTCCTTCTCCGCAGACGCGGTCTGAGGTTGCTGCAAAAGTGACAAAGTTAGAATTTCATCAGACACAATGCAAAGAGTATTTGGACTCACCGAATCGTCTTGTTCATCTTTGACGAGAAAGGGTTTCGTCGTGCCGGAATTTGTACTGCCAGGCATGGAGGTGGACTTGTTGAGGACTCTGTTGGGATGCCCAGACCCCGAGGATTTCTCCTGCAGACTGATGCTCTTCGTTATGGGCGCATTCTTGGGCTTCAGCTCAGGCTGTGCTGGCGCCGGAGGCTGCGTGGTCGGCGGCTGGGCACTTGGCGTCGGCGCCGGAGGCGTCACCGGAGGCGCTGGCGCCGGCGGGTGGCTCGGGAATGGATACTGTAGCCCTTTGGCCGGTATGACCGGAGTGTTGGGCTTTGGCGTCACGGGTGACGGAGAGGGACTGTTGTAGGGCGATGACATGCCGCCGATGGGACTGTTCAGTGGCGACGCTGTGGGGTTGGCGAGACGCGTCACAGCAGCCGGTGTCGGGAAGATGGGTGGATTGGCCAGGGTGGGTGTTTTCGCACTCGGCGTCCCTGGCAATGGTGGCGTGGCGGCCTGGAATGATGTGCTTCTTGCAAAGTTGTGGTATTCTCGCGGTTCATACTTGTCCCCAATGTTCTCAAGGCGCTTTGAATCCTCGTCGAAGATGGACTTCTTGGCCAGCACAGATTTCACAATATCCGATGGCTGAACCTCATTGACATCCAAGTCAAGGAACTTGTGCCTATAGTTTGTACCCGTGCTCGTGGTGCTTCCACCGCCAGACGCAGTTCCACTCGCCGCGCTGTCAGGAAGGGTTGTCGATGCTTTTGCACCGGGATCCGGAGCTGGAGCACTGGCTGTGCTGCTCGCATGTCCAACTGCTCCACCTCCCCGATTGGCGTTGTTCCCATTCCACTTCTCGAACATCTCATCCAGCGTCTTGATGCGCTCCTCGAGACTGGGACTGCAGCTGGGCGCCACCTCGCTGTCGCTGCTGTTGGAACTCAGCGACGGCGGTCGCAGGGGACTCTCCGGCGGCTGCTCGCCAGTGGGCACCGGCGGCGCCGGGCCCGTCGGAGGCGGCGGCGGATGGTGATGGTGGTGATGATGGTGGTGGTGGCCGTGGTGCGCGTGCCCGTGATGATGGGGCACCTTTGGACTCGACGCCACGAGAATACTGTTTGGCGGTGGACTGGACAGTGAGTGCTGGAGACTAGAGGGAATGGCCGGGATGGCCGGGGTGGACGTGGTCGGAGCCACCGTGGTGGGAGTGCTCGTTGTCGCTGCACTGGCCGCGGAGGCCTGCTGGGCCGCCAAGAGGCGATTCTGGAGGTAGAATTGAGCAGAGAAGCGCGGCAGTGGCAGCAACATGGGCTCCAGGTTGTGTGGTCGCTCGCGTGGCATTCGCCTGGGCTCCGTGGGCACAACACTCTCCGGCCTCTCATCGCACAGCGGCGTTCCCGGGCGACTACCATCGGCGCTCTCACCGCCGGACGCTTCGTGACTGTGGTGAGAGTGCAGCTGATGCCCTCGACCGCGCGACGTATGATGGTCCCCATCACCAATGGAGCCCGTCTTGCGACGCTTGCACAGGACATGCGGCGTGCCATAGCTGCCTATCACTCCGTGCTCGTGATGGCGTCCACCACTGTCCGTCGATGGGCGGCGCGCGTGCGACGCCCCAGACGCCGCCAGCTTTTGGCTGCACTCAGACAGTCGCCTCACCTCCACTTTCCGGTGCGGATGGGCGGGCACTCCCTGATGGTGGTGGATCAGTGAAGATTCAAGATTATGGTTAATACTAGCATCACAGATGGAGTCACTGATTACTACATTATTATTTTGTACAATGGATGAGGAGGATTGGTGCGACACCACAGTGTCATTTGTCATCATTGTCGAATCATAGCGTATTCGCTTCTTTGGACTCATCAGCTCATCACCACTCGATGGACACTCTTCCAGCTGCTCCAGCAGCAGCACTCGCTCCTTCTGCAAGTGACGAATGTCCCCTGGACTCTTGTCACTCCTCCGCCTCCCCTCAATGCCTCCATTTCCACCCTCCAGACGCGCTGGCGGCGGAGACTCACTGCCTCCACCGGCACCTCGACTGTAGCTGGTAAACACATCTCCCGAGCCACTGTGATCGTATCCATCGCCGTCGTGCGACGCCCCAGAACCCTGACTATACTCATCGTAGTTCCTCGATCTGCGATCACTGTACTCGCCATCGTAGAAGTCCACCGTGTTGTACCGCATCACCCGCGGTCGTCCTGCCCCTCGTGGCGTCGTACTGCCAGATGATGATCTCTCCAGCACTCCAGCCACTGGACTGGCGGCACCACTGTTTCCTCCTCCCGTGATGCTTCCGTGACGACTGAAGGAGGACGTCCGCGATCGCGGTGGGCCGTCGTATCGACTGAAGCGGCCCGTGGCAGTCACCACTGTCGGCTCAAAACTCCTTGCTGCACCAGCGGGAACTGCCACGGCAGCCTGACCGTCAAAGGATGGTGTGGCATCCCTCTCGAGCGGTGCTGACTTCTTCATCTTGTCGTAAAACGCATCTTGACACTCCCGCGATGCAAAATCCACCTGCAATTTCCGTCCTCTCAACACAATTCCTCGCATCTCCTTCACCGCCAGCTGAGCATACTGGATCTGCTCGAAGAACACCAGCGCCAGTCGTCGGTCCTTGTCAATGGTGATTTGTGTCACGGGCCCGAAACGTGCAAACTGAGTGGTGAGATAAGTCTCACTCACGCTATCAGCAATCCCGTCAATCCACACACAGTTGGTCGGCATGGACTTCCCGAAACCCAATTTGATGCGATTGTTGCCCAGATGTTCTCCATCCATTTTCCGCATCGCCTTCACCACACTCACGATGTCGGCGTACTGACAGAAGGCATAGGAGGAAATGCCCTGCTTCTTCACGTCAATCTCAATGATCTCACCAAAGCTCTCAAACTGCTTCCGGATGTCCGAGCTCGTGATCTCCTTCTCGAGATTCCCAATGAACAGGGTTCGCGTGGATTTGGGGTGATATTCATCCAGTTCCGCCTCGTACGGCCTGAACTCATTGTCATCCACATCGTAACCTTGATAGGGTGCAACTTCGATTTTACAGCCGAAGAAGAGCTTGTCGTGGCTCACCTCAAGGGCCTTCTCCACGTCATCGGCCTTCTTGAAGCACACCAGGGCGTACCTGTCCGTGCTCTGGCCCACCACCTTCACCCACGTCACCTTCCCGTGCTTCTTGTACTCGTGAAAGAGGCCATCCTTGAGGGACGTGTCCGAGGATCGCGCCGGCAAATTCCTCACGCAGATCGCCAGTGGTCGATTGTCCTCACTATGAGTGGCCGGATTCCCACTGCTGCTCGATCCGGCGCCACTCTGGCCACTGCCGCGCGTCCTCGATTCACCTGGAGCATTCGGACTGCTGCTGCTGCCATGTGAATTGGACGACGAACTATTGGTACTACTGCAACTGCTTGGAGATCGTGAATGAGATCGCGAGGAGAGACTACCACCACACGGCGATTCGGAGCCAGATCGACTCTTGTTCTTCTTCTTCGTATTACTATTGCTCACGCCACTCACTGTGGACGAGGGTGTCTTGTTGATGGAGGACGCCGTCTCTGATGTCTCCGAGTTCCTCCTCTCGATCCGATGATCCAGCGCCGATCCACTCAGTGGCAAATCATATCCACCGGCCGGATCCACAGCTGACGATGCAGATGAATTGCAAACACCACTCACGCCAGCATATCGTGACGATCCTGATCCACTGATGCCACTTGAGCCAACATTTGCTGACGAATTTGACTCATACCATGAATTTGTAGGTACTCTGTGATGATTTACGGGGGCAGATCTGGAAGACAAATAACCACAGAAAACACACCCGTTAAAAACTGCAAACATTGTGTGATAAGAGAGATAATTCGTGATGTGGAAATCGAGGTTCGACAGACACGACGAGACAATTTGTCGAGAGATAAAAAAAACCACAATCCCCTCTCTTGGCTTTGATCATCCTCCAGACAGCGCCAATCACCGTGATAAGAACAAAAATCGAGCATTGATGCCAAGATGATTGCGTAGAGTGAAACAGTAAGAACAATTGCTCAGCAAATTATTGGATGTTCCAGAAGATTAATAACATACAGAAATAACTGTTGTAAATATGATTTAATTGAGGGATCTTTTTTAGCGCACAAACACACACACACACAATCCTTCCATCTGAGATCGATGGGGAAGAGTGTATCTAAGATCAAATAATTCACATAAATTACCCCATCAACAAGCAAGTAATCGTGAGGTTTTTGCTTTCCTCCCAACAAGCGCGCACATTTTTCCTGTACTCCAATCCCAACTTCTTCATCCATCATACCTAATGCAATAATTAATGATCGGAAAACACTTTGAAATACCCTGAGTAATACAATTAATGTAATCTGTTATTAGCTAAATTGCCCACTGATCGCGCCTGATCGTATCTCGGAGTTTGACTCCTGCGTTGAAAATTCCTGATTTTCGATCGCAGCGGCAAACGGAACGCATTTAGACGAAACAGCGATAATTGATTTGACTTTAGATTATGTGACGATCATATCGCTGAGATTTAGCTCTAAAACTGGATTTTAACTCTCTTAATGTCTCAAATTGCCAGCATGAAGCCGACAAACGTCCGTCAATTTTTCAATTTAGTCAGCATTTTTGCCAATTCCAGCCGCAATTACGTTTATAGAGTTCTAATTAGTGTGATATCGTTGGAATGCGTGACACTTAGAAACCAAGCACTCTCGATCAGTACAGCCTAAAAGCAGGAAATGTGCGCTAAATGTACTGGTTTTCGCGGAAACGCAATTTAGTCGGGAATTCAAGGAGGACATATCGATAGCTCACCTGTCGATCATGTAGGGACCATTGCGATACAGACGATCCCGCGCTCGCCCTCGAACATCTGTCGAATGGTAGTTGTTGGGACGTCTGATATACTGATCGGGATCCGTGGTGCCTCTCGAGCTGCGCTCGTAGAAGGAGTTCCTCTCGAAGCCGGACGCATGATCGTCCGGCACACCACCAGCAGTGGCGCCACTTCCGCCACCACCACAGCCACCGTGACTATTACTGGAGGGAAATCGTGATGCCACCGAAGTGGATCCGGTGGAATACTGTTGCTGTGCAGCAGTGGGCGATGTTGCCGACGCACCGCCCGCACCGCCACAATTTGATGCTACACTACTACCACATATTGAACTAGATGATGAACATGAAAGGGGTGAACTACCGCCACTGCTCAACACCGCCGCTGACGGTATCGACGATGGCTCATAGTACTCGGTGGTTAATATACGATCGTCAAACTTATGCTCGGCCGTGTGGGCCTTCGAGGCGCTCTTGATGTCCATGAAGGCAACAGTCGCACACACACTACCACTATTAGCACTATTAACACTACTTTTGCTATTACTTGATGAATTACTACAACTGTTCGTGGGAATTTGAGACAATTCCGACTGCTTTCCACTGCCACCAGACGCTTGGCAACCTCCACCATGTTGCTGCTGCGCCGCCGACAGTCCACCACTTCCGGACGATGCTCCACTGCCCGACACTCCTCCGGTTGTTGTTTGACAACTATCACCAGTGTTACAGTTACTACTACTATTACTACCACTATTTGTTGATCCACCAGCCGCTGATGCGACTCCACATTGTGGGGATCCGCCACTCTGCTCATCAACATTTGTGTCACCACTTTCTTTGCCACTCGACGCACTTGGCACACCTGACAATGACGACGAGGCGGCGGCTGAGGCGGTGGCGGAGGACGACGAACTTCCGGCCACTGATGACGCTGAAGGTGTGAGAATTTTGACACTTTGAACTCGGCCATATCTGCAATGACAGAGAAAGAAGCTGCGCATTAGTATCTCATCAGCCACACACAACATTACAACGACAATCGCACATCCTTCCCAAGCACTCCATCAGTGAATTTCTCCAATGACTATCAAAAGCTCAAACTTCGCTCCACTAAATTGACTGAAAATCATGCGGCTTCCTCGCATCATCGTAATTATCGGGTTTCAATGGAATTTCAAAAGAGATCTCCACCTGAATTTCGGTTGATTGAGACGAAAGATGGAAAATTTCAATCACCATCGACCATCCTCTCGAAATCCGTCCAATTAAAAAGATCTTGTGATGGTGAAAGAAAAAAACGAGCTGAGAATCTGAACATCATCAGAGATGGATTTCTATAAATAATGGAGGTATGCACATATATATATTTTCACATCAATAAATTGATTGCAGTGAAAGAAAGTACTTCTAGGGTTGTCTGAACAGTGTCAATGGCATTACGAGAATTATTTATGAAATAAATTCTCAGAGTTTAATTTATTTGCTGCACTGAAATTAAATCTTTTGCCTAGGCATGAGTAGAGTCATGAATAGTGTCTCTCCCTCTCTTTCAGTTGAAAAAAGTAATACAACACACATATCTTAACTCTATAATCGGCCATATTCATTGAATGTGATGATTGTAAAAACAAGATAAACGAGCTTAAGAGACTATTAATCGGTCAAGTACAATTCTGTCCCATACAGATTCTCTCTCAGTGTCTCTGACTGCTGAGAAAACTTTATACATCTCTAACATGTTCCACTGTCAGGGAATATTGTGATGATCATATTTCACAGTCTTGGCAATCATTCACAAAAGGATTTCCTTCAATGCTAATCACGCAGGATTCTTCTCAGATGAAACACACAAACGGTCTCTCTTGTATGAATTCATTGATTTTCCTCAGCTCTAATCTTCATTCACTGGCAGCGAGAGACAGAGAGCGTATTATCAAAGATGTCAGAGGCTTTCATCTAATTTGTCGTCTTGACTTAATCCCAAGTGAATTGAGTGAATTCCCCTATAAGATTTCCTCTGACCTGTAACCCCCCTTTGTAACACGCTCTGTCGTGATTGATCCTCGCGCATGAAATTATTAAATGACTCTGTGCTGATTTTTCTTCAGCGCAGGCACGCAATTTTGTCTTTAACTGTAAAGTGTTGTTCTCAAGATATTTTACAATAATGTGACATGAAAATTTACTCCCCACTTCAATTCAATCAAGCCAAGCAACAATTTGACCTAATGACAGACTCATGGACTTATTGTATAAGTTTTTCATGGGTGTCAGGGGGAAAGAGGAGTAGTCCAAAGTGACTCAAAATAGTCATACAATTGCTGAATTAGACAAATGTATGTCTTGCCATTTGCTCACCGTCTCTCTCTTTCTCTCTCGCGCGCGCTACTCCTCTTCTAAAGCCACAAAGCAATGTAGGCAACCTTAAAAAATTGTGTGTAAATTATGAACCAATGGAGAGCGATTGAGGTAAATAAACTAAATGAAGGTGAACATGTGCGTTTTACAAAGCGGCACACAGGTGCAATTATTATTAACAATCTTTCATACAAATACGTCAATATGGACACCAATGATCCCACAGAGAATTGCCAATGGGAGAGGAATATTACACGTTAAATCTATTCCACATTAATATTAATACATTGTGGCGATTAAAGGTAATACCGAAATCTACATATTCAATGTGTTCAGGTGAGACGAGAGGCAGAAAGGTCTCCAAAGGAGCATCATGTTATATTTTTCAAGCAATATACACGAGAAATAAACATACATTTAATCTAAATCTGCCAAATTCTCACACACCAATAATCCATTCACCATAATCGCTCACGCAAAGGAATAACAAATTTTCGTGTGAAGAAAAAACCAAACTTAATGTCAAACATGACTTTATTCATCGCGTCCAAAAACTCTCCAATCAATAAATGTCAGTTTCATTTTAATTGACTCAATAAACACAGGAGAGAAAGAAAAGAATAATATATTGAGGCAGTACTTGCTAAAAATTCAGAAATTCATCGCTAATTTATGCCTTTCAGCACACACTCATCTCTTCGACAATATGAATATTCATTGGGTGTGATGGTATATTTTTAAATAACTCCCTAAAGGGATACACACTCTATAGATCTAATCAAAATATTCACGAAAATGCTCCGGTTTATATGTTGAATTATTCAGCAAAAGAGGTCCACACACAACATCAACAATTCACCACACTTTAGCCATTTTCTCACGGCAGTTTTAGGATGAATAGAAGCACCGCAAATAAAATATATTTCGCCTTTTCTTCACATGCAATCCAATTAAAGGAGATCACCCAATAAACTGAAAAATGATAAAATTCACTGATCGACCGAACCATAAAAGTCGCTAAACCTGAACTTTTTTTTTCTCTTTTAAATGCATATTTAATTCCAACTAATAAACACACTTTTAATTATATATACCCCACATTTATATTTTATAAAAGCAGATATATATGAAATTGATGAGCACACCTCTAAATTTGAGAAAGATTAAATTTTATTTTCCTATGGTTTTCTCCAAAACTCCGCAAAAAAACACGATTAGAATTATCTTCATAAATAAATTGTCAATAGGAAGACATCCTCCTCTCTCATCACCAAATTTCTCTCTCGCTATTTATGTGACAATCCAATTTGGAAAACAGAGCATCATCCTCTCTTATCACACTCTGTCCAATTTTATTGTATACTCCACTGTCTCTATTCTATACACATTATGCTCACCACGATATTGTCATTCGAGGCAATATAGACATGCGATAGAAAATTAATTTACTGTCCAATAAACTCTCATTTTTTTTTCTTACTCCAATCGTTCCAGTTGCCCTCGTAGTTTTGCTCTTAGGAGAGATTATCTCAAATAGCAATTTACCAGTAATTTTAAATGCAATTACTTTAATTGCAATAACATTTTTTCTTGCCTTAAAGTTGCCTTATATTCCCTCTTCTCGCCATGTATGCTTCCCTCTCTGCTCAACAACTATACATTTATTTATATATTATTTTCCACGATATTGATTGCGGTGTTTGTCTATATAGTGTGTTTGTTGTGCTGCCATTTTATATACATAGCAGTGTGTGTCTGGAAAACTTTGTTGTTAAAATTTATTTCCTACCCACCATCCCGCACCTTCATCAACAGTGGCCCCGGCGAAGAGTAAAAATCGATGGCGGAGAGAGCATTTGAGAATAAATTCACGTATTTTTCTGGGGAGGAAAATTTCACCCTGTTTTTATTTCCACAACTCTCCCCCCTTCCTCTTTTTTCCCCTTAGGACACATCATTCCCAGGTCACACCCAACCCCACTTCCCCCCTCTTTGACCCCCTCGAGCAGTTCAACAATTTTCTTGTGGTATTTTTCAACTCTCTTGAATATTTTTCCCACCGCGGGAGAAAAATAAAATTGTTCACGAGGTGTGAGGGTGAAATTCTCTCTATATACCAACAGCGGGAGGTGAGAAAAACATGGCTGGGGATGGAAAATATTCTGTGAAGAACAGTGAAAAACACGTCGTATATGGAAAATTGAATTAGAGAAAATATCTCGAGGGGTTTCAAACCTACGATGGGAGTGATATCTACACCTCTCGTAGTCGATTGATTGGAAAATTCCACTGAAAATACCCGTGGTTCTATTGATTTTCCACTTAAACAATATACATATAATATGTACGACTCTCCCAAAAATAATCTGTTTACTACAGTCCTTAATCCTCTTTCGCTCTCTCTCTTTCCCTCTTTCTCACTCAGTGCAGAAAATCCCTTCCTGAGTTGATTAAAAAAGATTTCCCATCCGAAATACAGGGACAACAGCGAATTTGGCAAATGGATGAAAAATCTTCCACCCTCTCGCTTTTCTCAACTCTTTGCACAAATCCCATGCGAAAAGCTTCCACACTGGCAATTGTTATGTGAGTGCCATGGAGAATTTGTGAGCACTTTAATGATCCTAGAGCCGTCCCGGGGATCAAAATCTTCAACATTTTCCCACGAATTCATCTTCCCTCTGTGTACATTTTCTATTTTCTCACACTTTTCACATCGCAGCTCCTTCACATTTCTCATGCCACCTTTTGCCATTCTCAGCATAGCCTAGGCCAGCCTCCTGGGAAAACACTTGAGCGACATACATTTAGTTGGGATGGATTTTTCCCTCCTCCAGCTAGGCTCGGAGAGAAAAGCCCCCAGAGAATGGAAGTACGGTTGAAAGACTGCGAGGAAGTGGCGCGCAAGAGTGGGGGATAATCACCAAAGTTCTGCCAAAGGAAGACATTTCCCATGGGGAGAATGGGAGCTCTGCTCGCACTGCCTTAATTGGGGGGTGGAAAAAACAAGTTGACGCACATTTTTCGAGGTTTGAGAGAAAGGTGGACGATTAGAGAGATGTGCGGCATTGTCAGGAAGATGGAGAATCAGAACCACCCCTGGCGGAGCTTTAAAGCTCATCCTCCTCCCTGTAAGGTCGTTACATGAGTCACACACCAAAAGTTCTCGACCCGGGAAATGCTGCCAGAGGCTGTGTGCCTGTGTGTGTGTGTGAATGTGTGTCTTGCATACTGTCCTCTCTTTCGCCCTTCAATGCGACTCTGAGCTTCAGTATTTTCTGTAATTTCACCCCCCGAAAAAAGTGGCATCCACCCTTTGGTATCTCTCATTTGCTCTCTCACTCTTCCCAGGGCACCCTTTCCCACAACATAATCACTCCCCAGCACTAGCTGTGCGAAGGGAAAATGGGCGCATGCGATTCACCATCCGGAGGAAAACCCATTGAAAAGCTGCACGAAGGGTGAGGGCTGAGATGAGCGAAAGAATGTATATAGGGAAAAATCATACTCCTCTTCTGCTCTGCGCCACCAGGAAAATGTTTCATTCCTCTCTCACACACACACACACACACACGATCTCCCAGGATTTTTCGCCATTTCCCACTCTTCTCTAT